CCTTGGGGTAAACACTACACTCTGCTAATCCCTGCTAATTGTCAAAGAAGAATAGAGTGGCTTCTTATCAGCAATTTGCATTTGTGTAATGGCTCTGGTCTGTTGGTGCTGTCTACTTCGCTGATAAGGAAAACACCACATAAAACAAGCAAGAAAGTAAGCCATCCTTTCCAGCATTATTTTCCTTTCAGCTTGCCTTGAGCAAAAAGAGCCTGGCATTCGACAGGAAATACTATGTGATTCTGTGGGAAAACAGTCAGTGATGAACAGAGAGCACCTAATTGCTCCTCAGATTTTTATTGCGTATTTATAAAATGTGTGATTTCCAAAATGTTAAATTATACACAGTTTAGTAGTATGTCCTATATACTATGACCATCACATTAATTTTTATAACTTTAAGCTGTTATAATAACAATATCATAAGTACATTTAATTCAGAATTATTAAAGAATTGTCAGAGTCTTGAAAGTTAAAAATAATCATACATTGAAGATGGTTTTGTCTTAACTCAAATTGTTCTTCAACTTAATTTATGGGCAAATTTAGTGGTTATAAATCATTAATAAGCAGTTATGAGACAATTAAAGTAGATTATTGGTATTTACTTGATGCCTTACAATTATGCCATGGGTGCCTCTCCAACTTACACAATCTCTCCTCGTATTTTGTAGAAGAATAATTTACTAAGGACATTTGAGGCTTGATTATATAGAATTCCTGAGTCTGGACAGACATGCTTTTTGTTTTTTGTTTTTCCACATTTATGCCACTAGTAATATTAACAGTATTATATGTTTGCATGCAGCATTGCAACTGACATAGTATTTTATCATACTTCCCAACAGTCCTGTGATAGCACATTTCACAGCTGAATGTACTGACACAGGTCAGCTAGACAGAAATCACACAGCTAGTAATTGGTAAAATTGAGCCTGGGATCTGATTCTTCTCAGTTAATGCCAGTGTTCATTTCACTACATTTTATCTATAAAGATCTCCATTTAAGGAGAATTGTTCACAGTCTTACAGTTTTTAACCCCAGTAACTCAAGTTGTTATCCTTATGTCTTGGGCATAATAGACAGTCATTAAAGAATTATAGAAGGAAGGAAGGGAGGAAGGAAGGAAGGAGGGAGGGAGAGAGAAAGGAAGGAGGGGAGGGAGGGAGAAAGGGAGAGGGGAAAGGAAGTAAGGAAAGAAGGGAAGAAGGAAGGCAGACTAGAAAAAAGGGAGCCCTGTTATAAGGGGCAGGATTCGAGGAGTCTGTAAATGGTGACCTTAGTCTCCAAACCCTTGGCTTAGTCTGAGAACTGTCCAGCCTCCCGGGGGTTGGTCATTAGTCCTGACCTATAGGCCAGGGGAGACCAGGTCAATAGTGAAACACTCCAAAGTACATTCTCTGGTAACAAGTTACTGCTTTATTTATACTTTATTCCTTATAGTATTGTAGCTGCTAACATCCCAAGGAAAGCATCTTCGGGATAAAGTGTTCATATAAATGGTATAAACATAAAAGTAGTAGACTCATATTTTGCAGTGTTCTTAATTGTGGTTCATTTAGGAACTTACTAGAAGGGTGATTAAACTCCCAGTTATAACAAACTAGTCACAAAGTGGTGAGAGGCGTGGATTTTTTTTTTCCAACTTTTTCTTTAAGTTCTTGTTAGTTAACACACAGTACAATATTGGTTTCAGGAGCAGAATTCAGTGACTCAGCACTTACATACAACACCCAGGGCTCATAGTAACAAGTAGAGGTGGGGTTAAGTACCGAATGAGTTAGATCTACCTTCATTTACTTCCAGAAACAATTATGAGGGTCTCCATTTTTTTTTTTTAATACCAAAACACATTCTATCTGCAAAACCTTTAGGTTTACCTCTGATAGAATCCTCCCAGCTCCCAAAGAAAGAAGGTCATTCCCATAGCTTGGTTTAAGAACCTCCTTTGTCGCATTCATTTCTGGCAGAATTATTAAATGGAAACTGACTTAGCAATACAGCACGTGTAAGCCAAGGAGAAGGGATATCACTGCAAAGTTTATAGATCTGCTTAAGATGGACTGTGCACTGTATTGAACTAAGGAGAATGGAAGGAAACCTGGCAGAGATTTGAAGGGTTCATGTATCGCCATCTCCATTCCAGATTCTTCTGACAATTACAACTTATTCCTGTGTTTGGCTGTTGGTTCAGAACAGCTGTACCCGGTCGGCTGACACTTAGTATCACCTGGGAGTTAATTACAGCTTTACAATTCCATGATCATTTTTGTTCTTGCTTCGGCTAAAGGATGGAAGCGCTAAACACAATAATCCGTGATCGTATAAGCTAGTTGCTACTTCATTTTCTCCAAGAATTATTTAACTATCAAACATCCCAGCTTCAAGTAATTATCTAAGATTTTTTCAAATGAATGTGTCAATGCTTGGTGCTGCAGGATAACATTAGAAGAATAATCATTTCAGGGGGAAATATTTTTTAAAAAACAAAAAAGGGGATGTTATTTCTGATTTTAACATCCATTTATTAATCTTGCTTATCTTAAAGTCCAAGGAATAGGTGCGATGTGCCTGCCTCTTGCTTATGTCACTGCTAATCTTTATTGTTAGTTTTGTAATTTATATGGAGTGTCTGCTCTTGGGGGGAATGTTGGGTTAGCTGTTTTAGTAAAAGCCTCAAGATTTGTTCTGAAAGAGTCTTGTGCTTGAGGGGAAGGGTAATCCTTAGCAACCTGTCAGGGATTCTGAGACCCCGGGAATCAGCTGGAGGCTTAGAATTTCTCGGTGGGAATGACTGGTGACAGCACACTGCAGGTGGTCCGTTGAGCACTGTCACCTGGGGCAGCAAAGAAACCAGGCCCAATTTGTCATCCCGTAGTATCCTGTCAACGGTTGAAAGTCTTGAGCACAAGACCTTTAGCATTTAAGGCAAATTTCCTCCTAATACCTTTTAAAAGTAATTGCCATGGATGGAAATATTTATATGTAGCACACAAGTGAACCGTGGTTCACTTGAAGATATAGTATTAGATTAAAATGAAATGTTATGTGGTATATAGAAATGTCGTCTACTCTGTGACTTTACTCGACGAAATTATGCCAATTACATCCCCCTCTCCCTGACAGAGATGTGCAAGGATAGCTGATAATATAGGGTAAAATCACCTCTGTTCCTACTCTCGTTGGTTTCTTTGGTTTGGTTTGTAGATCTGTGAAGGATACCTTGAAATGCATTTTGAAAGGCCTTTTTGGTGGAGTAATAAAAATTTTGATCCAGTTCTTAATTATTCATAATAATGATTCAAGAGTATCATGGATCTTTGAAATCCCCAGATTTCCACTTTCGAGATCCTTAGTTGATTGATAAACACCTTCCCTACTTGCCCAGTAATAATACCTGCTGTTATTCATTGTGTGCCAGTGTTAGGCCAGTTCCTTTACCTAGATTATTTAGAATCCCTACAACAAACCTGGAAGAGTGCCATTACCATTGTTTCCAAAACGGGAAAATTGCATTCTGGGTGGCTAAGTGACTTGCTCAAGGACACAAAGCTTGCACAAGATGGGATTTGAACCAGATCTGTCTCCAATGTGGAAGTCATTCTGACTGTCCTTTGCTGTTACTCCTAAAAACCATGCTGACAGTAATGATATGGTCCAAACACATGTCCTAGATGGGGGGGGGGGGGGGGGGGGGGGGGGGGGGACAAGGGAACAAAGGCCTTGAGTATTTCTATCAGGTAGAGTAAAACTCAGAATTGGAGGAGAATTCAAAAACAAAACAAAGCAAAATGGGGACTTATGACGTAAATAAAGAAGAAACGCCAAAGAAAGTGGAAAAATAATACACAAGAGGTCAAGTAAAAGCAAACAAAGGCATCTGAGTTTCACATGCAAATAATAAAATAGAGAGTGAAAAGGAAGTCAAGGAATCACTAAGAATGAGTTAGTAGACAAGGAAAAAATTTTGTCTAAAGATACATACATGTTTTTTTCTTTTTCCTGAAAGATTCAATAGGATCTTTGTTGGCTTGCCATAATGCTTTTGCTTTTCGTCCTGATAATATCAGTCATGAACATTACCTAAATTAGACTGTTTTGGGTTGAGACTGAGCATTGCGTGTGGTGTTCCTGATGGTGTGAGTGGGGAGAAGTTCTGGTACTAAATGCTCTTGAATCTGAGGACCAGGAGCTTCATTGAATTCACATGCCGAATGGTGGAGGCATTATTTTCACATCACTTTCACATAACGGAAGTTTGATAGGTGGATATCAAGCTTGTCACAACTCTAAACCAAAATTAAGACTAGTGTCTACTCCTAACTCAGAATGGATAAATTTCATAGTGCCATTATTGTACTTTTGAAACAGTAATATTAGACTGTCTTTCCATTTCCTCAAAAGTATGGTGACAGACTTTCAACTGTGTCCTTCTAAGTGAAACAGAAAGTTGGAATAGAATGGCTCCCGATCTGTATGTTGATACACATACAACTGATAATACATAATCTTTTATTAGGAACAAATAAGCCACCTTGTATTCTTCTTTGTTATGTATATCTAAACACCATAAAGTCAATATGCATATAAAACATAATTTCCAAAATAAATAAGTAGTTGCCATTCAAAAATTATATTGAACTTCAGTTGTCCTGACAGAACTTTATATCATTATCTTTGAGCCTTCTTGGAAAATATATTTTGCTTGTGATAGGTCTCTCTTCCAACTTCCTTAGCAGATAAAATATCAGTTGTAAAAAATGTTAAGCCTTTTTTTCTATTTCATTCTAATTAAATTAAATAACTGCGATTACCCTTTGATAATTCTATTCCATTTAATTACAGCCAGAGACTAGTTTTCTTTTTTGTTGTCGTTTATGAAACCTGAAAGTGATGTCTGCCTTCTGCAAACTCTTCCTTTGAAGAGAATTTAAGATTAAGGCTGTTTAGAAGAGGGAAAGACACATGTAAACCTTCCCATTCTTTATCTTCTATCCAGCTACATCTACGTCTACAACCGGAACAAGCCATCTTGTAAAGTGTGCAGAGAAGGAGAAAACTTTCTGTGTGAATGGAGGCGAGTGCTTCATGGTGAAAGACCTTTCAAACCCCTCAAGATACTTGTGCAAGTAAGAACGAGAAATCTTCTGTGTGGCTTATGTCTGTAAAGACTGCTTTCAGACAACTCTGTGTCTCATGATGTCTTGTTGTTTCTTTTCCCAATTTTGTTGCATTCTGTTGAATAATGCTGTTTTATTTGTAGAGTGTTTTTGAAAAGTTCGCACCATTTGTCATCTGTGTTACATCTAGAATTGTTGTTTGCTTTTTTTTTTTCAATTTTCCTTGTGCCTTTATATTTATAAAGTTGTTTTCCTTGTGGTTCTCCTCAGTTACCTAGAAGAGATGTGCAAATATCATAGAGGCCAATAACTTTTGAAACCAACTTCTCCATCCATTGTATGAATTACTCTGAAAGACCATGTTCCTTTTGTCCCCAGTGATCACCTGCAAAATGAATAGGACAACTAAAAGAAGAAGGGCAGAAGATTTATTACTTTCACATCTGTTACACTTGGCATTAGCTTATTGTTTTATAACTACTTTAAAATGGAATTTAGCTTGATCTCACTAATGGGGAAAAAAACCCAAATTACATGTGTTTGTAAATGTATTTAGTGTGCGAAGCATCACTGTGTGTAGAAGGCAGAGTGTTCTTTCATGCTGCCCTTGTTTGTAGATAAATTTAGAATGGTGCTCCTTCCAATTACCTGAAGAATTTGATGTGCCATTAAGAAAAATGACAGTTATTCTCTCTCAACAGGCAGAATGAAACAATGATATTAGCGGTAAATTAAATATTTAAACCTTAATAGTTAAAATTAGTAGGTCTCCTTAAAACCACATGTTTGTTGTGCAATGCATTTTAAGTCTACTCTTTTTTTTTTTAGTGTTTTTGTTTGTGTGTGTGTGTGTGTGAGAGAGAGAGAGAGACAGACAGACAGACAGACAGACAGAGCATGAGCAGGGTAGGGGCAGAGAGAGGGAGACAGAGAATCTGAAACAGACTCTAGGCTCTGAGCTGTTGGCACTCAAGGCTCGAACCCACCAACAGTGAGATTATGACCTGAGCCTGAGTCAGATGCTTAACCAACTGAATCACCCAGGCACCCAAGTTTGTATGTGGGACATGGACTCAGAAAGTTTGATGTGGGAAAAATGTGTAATGTCCCATTGAAATGACCAATGATGCGTATTTATTTTGCATAAAAATGACCTCGTGCTTCAGCATATGAGCTTGTGACTTACATGTTGACAAAAAAGAGCAAGTTTGTCAGAGAGACAATAGAAGGAGCAATTAGCAAAATGAAAAAGAGGCACAAGAAATAATTAAGAAGGCCATATCCCCTTTACATCATATAGTGTACAAATATTTATGTGATGCCAGTTCTAAGAAAACTTTTATTTTTTATAAGTAAGAAAATACATCTTAAAAGACACATTTTAAAATCATAACATCAAACAAAAATACCATTTTGTGGGAAATGTTTTGCTGTTCCCTGTGCTGTTCTAGACATGGGCTGTCTGTAGGGTGTTTCATGGGACCTCAGGTACTAAGTTCAAGTGGACAAATACTTCCTAGAACTGTGCTCTTGCACTCAAAGCTCTTTTTTTTCTTTAAGTTCTTCTTTTAAAAGAGAAGAATTGGTTCCAAGAGAAGGCAAGTTTGGGTAGTTGTATAGTTGATTTTACCAGTGAAGACAGACAACTTATCAAAATAAATATAGTGTTTTAGAGTGAGTAAGAGACTAAGAATCACAAGAATGGGATTCTGATCTCAGTTGCTTAACATCTCTTTCATAAAGATAGGTAGCAGCCGTAAGCCAAGACACAACTAATAGGTGAAAAAGCCTTTTCAAAATTTTAAAGCCAGGTAAAAATGAAAGAGTATGTAGGAAATTATTTTGTCTGGGTCCAAATTGCTTCATATGACTATCAATGTATATAGTTTTAAAAGTAATCTTAGAGATTCACTTTTTGATCACCAGTGTATTCAAACCTGCATACCAGTAGCAAAGAATAAAAATTGGCCAGTTTTGATCCTTGGTTCTGCCGACCTGCTGTGAAACAGCACAAACATGGCACACCCAACGTTATCATACTGAATTGGGATGCACAAATTTTATAATTTCCTACAAGGTTTTCTGTGATCGAAAAAGAAACAGATGCTGAGAATTATAATCTGTAAAATAGGAGGTTCATTTATTATATGGGGAAAGTTTGTTATTCCATCCTAAGTACAAACAACCTAATTATGTTTTAATAAATCTCCCTGAAAAATAGCATTGAAATGATAATTCCTTAAATCCTCCTTCTTTTTAAACAACTATGCCCATATTATCTATGTCTGAGACAATTACTTGTTAAGAAAAACATCTGAGACCACTGGGTTTTAATTATAATAATGAAACATGATCATTTTTCATCATAGCCTTTGCAAAGATTTATAAGCTGAGTGAGTACATATGATGGTTTCTGAATACCTCCAAGGAACCAAAGCAGTTATTTTCCACATATTAATTTCAGCCATTCTACAGCCCTCCCACATCCTACACAAAACATGCAATCACATAAGTGCTGTTCATTTGTTCCCTTTTGGTATTGTGCCAACAACTGTAATTTTTTTTCACCCACCAGTTTTTCATTAAATGTAAAGCCCAATCCAGGGAAAAAAAAAAAAAAAAAAACCTCACTGTATGTATTTTTAATCTTGAAGAGAAATGTATGTTATTCCTCTAATAACTATTAAAGCAGCAAGCCATGAATGAATACTCTCTGTCCGCCAGGCTAATTGTCTAGTGAGTTATGTCTTCCGCTTCTCCTCAAATTGGCATCATAATTTTATTGGGGATTTTGGGGGGAGGGGTAATTGTAATCTTTCAGAAAAGTCTTGAAAAGCTTATCACTGGATCTTGTTGGAAAGAAGATCTTTGACATCGACAATTTTGTTAACTGTTTACCCCTTTTTGGACCACGTCTTTTACGGATGCATCAAAGCAAGCTAGTACCTTGAGGGAAAAACTGAAGTATATTTAACATTCAAAATATTTCAAGCCTTTTTCATTAAATAGAAGTGGGGTTTTTTTAATCCTTGTATTATCAATGTCTTTAACATAAAGAATAAGCGCTACTCAGAACTGAAATGGAGACACATAATATACCATGTCTTTCGATAATATACTGTTGACTAAGCCGCTTGAATAGAGACAGAAAACATAAAAATGCTTCATTGGCTCATCCCAGTCCTGTGTACAAAGCTAGTTCATAGTTTCCATATGGTCCATCTGTGTAAAGCAAAACATTGCTGAAGCATGAGCCACATCGTTCAAAATCAACTTTATCCCATGACTCAGAAACACCACAAGCGTGGAAGTTTCCAAATAGTCTCTCTGGTCACCTAATCCATGGTTGTCTTCTTGGGAGTTGAAGTAGAAGACTGTACAGCAGATCTCTTTTGAGTATCCAGTTTGAACAAGGTGTTCCAAATGGATTAACCATGTAACGGTTACATACTTCTCTGAGGAGAGGCTTGCTGGTTACTTGGACATCTCCCTGAGGACCCTGTGGGAATTTCTGCAGTGGCTCTCATCTTTTATATTGCTTTTTTCTCCATAGTAATTTAACGTTTGTCCTGGGGGAAAAATACTTAGTATTCCAGATCACATAAAGACAAGAAAGCAAAGAATCATTCCATCCTCCACCATCTGATGCCCTATGTAATCACATAGTTTAAAGAAACAAGACAATTTGAAATAACATCTAGATTTTCCTCTTTGCTTTTCCCCTTGTTCTTATATATCAGTTCTTCTGAACAGTTTTAGGAAAGAACTATTTTGGAAGACGTTGGTGTGATTTTTTTTTACTAAAAATGATTTTATACCATATCGTATTTATAAAACCCATTATGTTGTCCCGTGGACAGATGTGGCTTTCCCATGGGAGGATTAGAGTCTTAACCACCAATTTTGGTGGACAGTCTTGAGCCTTTTCACTTCAACTCTCTGGACGATGTCTTTATGTGTAATATAGAGTTCATATGTTCTCCAAATTTCTTTCCAGGGAGTCCATGAAATTAAATGAATTCATTTCTGCTAAAGTGTTTCTGACTCTGGGGAGGCAAGATTTGTTCCCCTTATAAAAAGTAAATAGTAGTAGTACATTTTCTCTGCAGACATTAGAAACATATATACACCTGTCTTAATAGACTACATGCTAGGATGTTTAAAAAACCCCATTTCTTCATTTTATTTAACATTGGTAGTTTTACTTGGTTTGGTGGGGCTACCGGTTAGCTTTGTAACTTTGCATTTGACATATCAATTAATATCCCTGACCATTATCTTATAAGCAAAAACAAAAAATGAAAACAAAGAATCAAAACTTTGGGAAGACATGAGTTGCCTTCAAACATGAATTTATGATTTTGTATCATTTTTATGAAACTGTGTAATATAGATAAGAGCCTTAAAATACGTAACTGTAGGAGATACAGACACAACAAATATGTTATAATAAATTAAGCTCAAAAATGAAATATTAAACAATTGTTTATAGAATAGCTTTCTATATATCTATACCAGACATTTTTGAAGACATAGAGATAATGGAAGGCATGGTCTCTGGTCCCTGGAAACAGTCTGTTTAGGAAAATGAAGTAGCTAAAATAATAAATCAGTTAGAGTGAATATATCCCAAGCGGTACAATGCTGATTATCATGGTAATGAAACTTGAAAGAAGGAAAAGAAAAGACTGGAATACTCGGAGAGGGCTTTGTAAACATTGTCATCATTTATGTTTTGCTTATACCAGGCAGGCACTGAGGCTGCAGTAATAGTTTCTGTGAGACACAGTGACATGAATATATAACCCAGCAGCTCCATTCTGGGAAGCAAAACAGACCAATGAGGGCCAGCTCAAGAGCTCTGAAGGCCAGGCAGATGACCTTGGGCATTGTGATACCTAATAGGCAGTATTAGTAATGTCTGGAGTGGGAGAGTGATACAGTAAACATAGCAGATATTTAGAGAAGACAGACTTCCACACAGGCTAGAGAAATTTGGAGACTAGGTA